CTTTCGATTTAACTATCAAACTATAAGTTATATACCATAAAAATAATAATTTGATTATAAATCTCTTTTCAATATGAATCCAACAATATAAGTTTTATGACATACAACTTATATTTGGTTAGTGATGGAGTTTACAGTTCAAATTAGGCACAAAATACGTAGGGGAGAAGCCCGAACTAAGGTAGTACTCCTCATATATACCTCTAAAAGAGCATCTTTAGCAAACGCCGTATAATACCCCGACTCGCAAAATAACCGTCAAAATATGGGTCCGTGCAAAAAATACTGCCCGACCAGACCGCGTAAACGCGTCGGATCCGTAAAATTTTTTAGGGACGCGGAAAACATCCCCATCAAACCCGTGGAAATAAGGATTTTGGAGGCGGCACGAAGGCGCCCTGTATACGCGAAAGCCCGTTGGCGGGAATCGAACTGCCATCGGAAACTTCATGGCTTGCTCCTGTCCATCCATCCCCGGCCGACGCGCCCGCCAGCCGTCCGCCACGCCGGCCGGCCGGCCGTCCGCCACACTTGTCGGTCGTCCGCCGAGCCCACCGGCCGTCTGCTACCCCGGCTTGCGGCTCTCTCGACAGAGGAGCTAGCTAGCTAGCTATCTGAATCGATGCGCACGGATCGATGCGCATCTAGCTAGTTCGGCCACCGCCCGCGCTGCCCTGGCAGCCTTGGCCTTCGTCCGCACGCTGCGGCTGTTTTCTACTGCTGTCGGCACTGCTGATAGCTCCGGCCTGGCCACGCTGGTGGCGAGCCCAAGGAGACAGTCGTGGAGGCGGGACGTGCACACGCCGAAGGGACAGAGGTCGTGATGGGAAGGGCGCGAGGAAGAAGATGGTATATTTAGAGAATATTCTTTTTTACGGGTTGATTATACCGATTATGTTCGGCCGCAGCTAAAATTGACCCTTATAATGCGTTTTCCTCAGCCCGTAAAACAAACTTATAGGGGTCGTGATTTTAAGGGTCTGCTAGAGATGCTCTAAGCCACTGCGTCAAGGTCTCGCTCTCCCCATCCGCTCCATTACCTTTCCTCCCCTCGCAGGCACTCCAGCAGCTCTTCGATCCATCTGCTCATCCGCTCCATTACCCTTCCTCCCCTCGCAGGCACTCCAGGAGCTCTTCGATCCATCTGCTGGACTGCAGGTTAGCACAAAGTGTATGCAAGCTCTTGCTTTTGAGTACTGATTAGTGGTATCTTTCTTGCCTCACTGGCCCCCGTTACTTGAGAAGCTGCCCGGCCGCCAGTTGCTTTCGTCTCTTTTCCCCCCTACATGTTCTAGCTCTGTTTCTTGATGTGTATGATTAGTACTATACAGACTATATGTCGCATATAGATCCAGTTTTTCGAGTGAACTTTCATTTTCCTTGAGCTTCACAGCTTTCCCTTTCTAGATCTGGTCCTTTCCTGCTTCCCCAAATCTGGGTATACCTTTTATTCATGGTTCTTACACTTTCTATGTCTTCTTCACTGGCTTAGGTTTAGTACTAACATCATGTTCCATTGCACTTAGCTGAGAAATACGTACAACAACGACATCTGTTGCTAGTACACAGGAAAAGAAAGAACAAGCGCCAAGTGCATATGTAAATTAAAAAAAAGTTTCAGAAGAATCTAAAAAAAATGGCATCAAAGATGCTCGATGCACTAGATGTGTGCAGAATTTTGTGGTGAAATGACATTGAGGAGCTATCCGTAAAAAACAGGTCTTGGAGATTCTTTTAATAGACAACCAAAAGCATCTTAGATCTGACTAATATCAAGGAAAACAAAAGCATACTCCAACCAAAAGCATGGAGTGGCTCATGGGACCTCTAATCCCTGACGGAGATAGTAGTAAATAATAAAAGTACATTGGAAAGCATACTAGGTTTTCTTTTTTCTCTGATTGTACGTCGTCTGTCAGAGATCGAGAAAGAAAAGCCACACATGTAAACGTCCTCGCCATACCAGGATTTGAAGACTGCAGTAGCACTCGTCCCTTGAGACGAGATCTATAAATCGCTGAAGCACCATCGGTTGGAGTATCACCCCACGCAGAACAAACTTATAAACCATCACCATCAGTTCAGAGGGTTTGAAGACCTGAGTGCGTTGTATTTTCACCTATGTGACTACATGCAGACCGTCCTAGTTGTATTTTCTTAAAAATGTTTTTCTTTTCTTTTTGCATGCTTTTTCTTCTTCTTAAAAGTGCTTGATTTGCCTAAAAATTCAATAGGTGGGTTCATTTAAAGAGAATATCACTGAAAACCAGGTTACAATGGAAACCTCGTGAAAACCACGTTTGATTTTTTTTAAACAATAAAGTATGTTAAGAGAGTGATATTCTATTGCCATGTGAAATTTTAAGTGGCAAATTAACATCTCTCTCATAAGTTTTAACTTATTGTGTTCTTTTTTAGAACTTTTAAAACATTATAACATAGTTCAAACATGATTTTCATCGATTTCCATCGAAATTTGGTTTCCACGTGATATTCTCTCAAACAAATTAGCATACATAGCACTGTGAAGTTTGCTCTCATCACTCATTAAGCATGTGAAACCTACTATAAGTAGTTCAAGAAAGGATCAGAATGAAAAGAAAAAGTGAGCCGATCCAGTTCCAGTTGTCCGTGACTTCTTACTTCCTCCGATCAATTTCAGTTCAAAAGAAAAGTGTTGACTTTGCCCCTCATATATGCAAAGTGTAATAGTACTATACTGTAATTTTGGAGAAAAGCCATATAGAGTGAAAATGACATAAATGCCCCCAGACTAATTACAATGCGGGGGTTCCTTGAAACTCTGAATCCCCAAATACATGTACAAATCCAAACGGCGGCGCTTCTGTAATCCCCGAGCTCGCCGCCCTCGGCGCCGCCGGCTGCGCCGCCATCTGCTCACCCTTATACCGCCTCCAAAAGCCATTACCTCATTCCCCGCCAGAAAATAGCCATTACCTCATTGTTGCGTCTCCTGGTCCGCTGGGAAAGGCTGAAGATGCCGGCCAACAAGCTAGGTTGCCGTGCGGATCCCTTTGGACTCTGCTGCCAGGTCCCGTGTTCTTGGCGTTCCGTGCCTTTGATCGCCCGATTGCATCGCAGGGGCGAGACGAAGGTCTAATTTTCAATGAAGAATACCGAAAAAGGCTTTCGCCCCGCTTTATAAAGCATCAATCAACAAGCATCCAGTACAAACACACGCCACGCCACCGCAATACACGCACACACCCAGGACAGGATACATAGGCGCTGAGCAGCAACATCACCCCTAGTACTACCACCACGCAGAGCTGAAGCTACATATGACGAACCATGAGCTCCAAGGCAGCGCCTTCCGGAAGGGAACGACGCCGGAGCGCCGCCACCACCCGATCCAAAGATCAGAGTTTCCCCCGGAGCCGCATGACGGGCAATGAGAGCCGCGGCGATGCCTTCAAGAAGGGAATGATCCTCGCCACCGCCGGTCCGTCCGGAGATAGAGCAGGTTTTCACCTCGGCCAACACTCATCGCCACCGAACACCACACCCCGGCAACCACGCCGCCCACGCGGCCATGGTGACCGGGCAGCACCAAGGCACGGGCTCTGCCCACGAGCACCGCGCTACCACCACCAGGGCCGCCGCCCCAGCATCCAAGATCTCGACACCACCTCACCCAAGATCCGTCGCACCCCAACGAAAGAGACGAGCGAAAAGGTCCCACCTTTCGCACCCCTGGCGCCCCCAGCGTCGAGACCCAATAGGTCGGCCAAAACTGGCATCCACCGACCCGTCCTGCTGTCCCGAGCGCGAGACAAGCTCAGTCCTGCAGCATCGAGAGGGGGACGAGGTCAGTCCTGCTGCACTGTGCGCGAGACGAGCTCGGACCTGCCGCATCGGGCGCGGGATGAGCTCGGTCCTGCAGCACCGGGACGCGAGACGAGCGGTGGACCGCAGCTGGGAGAGGACCAGCCAATTGATGGGAGTAGCGCCCGGACGCCGAGGAGATGGAGTGAAGGTCGAGATGGCCAGAACGCAGACGAGCCGACGCCGGAGAAGCCGGCCGCTGCCGCGGACAGATCCGTCGAGCCACCGTGAAGCCGCCACGACACCGGGAGGTCACCACCGAGACCTTCCCACGCTGCCGCCCACGACTGGAGTAGCAGCCACGCCCGGCCGCTGCCCTACCCGCGTCGCCCGAAGACCTCCAAGCACCGGAGCCACCGGACAAGCACCACCAGAGCCACGCGCCGCCGGTCGGCCCCCAACGCCAGATTCGGCCGGGTCTGGCAAGAGACCGGCCGCGCGCCACCTCCCGAGATGGGAGCAACGCAGCCGCCCCGCCACGCGCGGAACGTAGGGAGCCGGAGCTCCGCCACCAGCAGGCCACCCGGCCGCCCTGCTAGACGGCCGCCGTGCTGCTGGATCCCGTGGACAACGGCGCAGCCACTCGAAGGGGCCGCCCGCGCCGGCGCCTACAAGCGGATGGGGAAGAGTGGCCCCGCCGCCGCCGTGCCCATCGGGCTTTGCCCGACGGAGCTTGCCAGCGGCGACGGGGGGAGGGGAGGGAGGCGGGGCGAGGGGCGCGGTAGCAGGAGATCCTCCCCGGCGCGCGCGGGCGCGCCGCGGGAGGGGAGGGGAGGAGAGGGGGGGAGCGGGGCGGGCCGGGAGGAGCGCCCGGCGGCCAGCGGCGGCTGATGGGAAACCCTAGCCTTCTACAACCCTAAGTCGGGGCGCGTCAGAGCTTTTCCCTTTCAGGTCATAGTTTTTCGAACCGCGGTTCCTTTCAATGAAGAATATATGTTGCGTGTCTATTTTTTTCATACAAGTTGTGCATATTTGCTTTCTCAACTAAAAATATAGATGTGCCCTGAAAAATATATGCTGCATATTTGTTTTTCCCCTACAAATGCATTATATGTTCTCTCTTAACCATGTGAAAGGTTTTCCATGTTATTAGAGGGATAGATATCCAAGGCTTCGAGCTAGTCAATCCTTGCACCAACAGAGATATAGATACCATGGCGAACACGTTCGAACACACAAATGTGACGACAAGGGAATTTACATTTCAGTACTTGCAACAAATTACAAATAATTTTTCTCAGGAACACATAATTGGTCAAGGTGGGTTTGGAGTAGTTTACAAGGTAAACCTCACATTATTATTGCTTACGTATCTTCTATATTTCAGCTGATACTACTGTAGTACTTTGTGTAACTGCAATAACCCATCCAACTTTTTAATTGCAGGGAGTTTTGCACAATGGGGAAGAGATTGCTCTCAAAAAGCTCTATTGGAAGCCAGATATTGGTGACGCGGAATTTAGGAATGAGTTTACTAACCTCATGAGGGTCCAACATCCAAATATTACCCGGTTGGTTGGCTACTGCTATAATCTAGGAGAACAACACATTGAGTACAATGGCAAAAATATTTGTGCTGATGTCGAAGAAAGAGTCCTCTGCTTCGAATACTTGCCAGGAAGCCTTGACAAACATATTACCGGTATGATGGTGCTCTACTTATAGTATATTATCTTTATATGAAGAAAAATTAGACCAAATCTTCTGCATTTTTTAGACCCCTAAATTTACATGTTGGTCATACACATCTACAGATATATCGGTCGGACTCGATTGGTGCACACGTTTCAGAATCATTAAGGGAGTCTGCGAGGGCTTAAATTACCTTCATAATGGAGCCAAAGATCCCATTTACCATCTTGACTTGAAACCTGAGAACATATTGCTGGACAAGGACATGATTCCCAAAATTGGAGATTTTGGATTGTCAAAACTCTTCATTTCAACACAAACCAAGGACGCAAACAAATTTACAGGAACACTGTAAGTTGTTTAGTAGCTCACTCGTCATGAAAAATAATTATTTTATATTGTAAGGAAATTATACAAGTAACTGTATTTGACATATACCATGCAGTGGATACATGCCGCCAGAATACATAGATAGAAGTGAAATCACATCAAAGTTTGATGTATTCAGTTTGGGTGCTATCATTTTACGGATAATGACAGGAAAGGAGGGTTACTCCAGACCAGAAATGTCTACACAACATTTTTCTGAGCATGTATGGCATATTTCTTGTATCATGAGCAGCAATACTTTTGTCATAAATATATTATAATCCATTTGTGGGTGCCTTAATTTCCATGCCACCTTTCCATTCTGTTGCAACTTTGCAGGTAAATGAAAACTGGGAAAGGCGGCTGCAGGCAACAATGTCATCGTTTAAATCAGAGGAAGTCAGGACATGTATCAAAATAGCCCTGAGGTGTGTTGAGGTCGATAGTGAGAAAAGACCTACTATAGCCGAGATTGTTGATGAACTGAACAATGTTGATACCACAAAAAGTCCGCCTACAGGACAGGTATATATATTTGAATTTCTTATACGCAAGATTTGCATGGCGTGATCAAGTTACATCATCTGCATGTCCTTTAATTTACCCCTAATTTCTGGCCCACTCATCATAAATGCCTGTTATTTCAGCTTCATTTTTGTTTCTCTTTACTTTTGAATTTGGACAACTGCAACTACTTTTCTTGTGTATTTATGGAGGCAATAAGTAGACAATGGAAGTATTTGATAATAACTCCATCTGTTTGAAAATAGATAGAGGTTTCTACATGGATTGTATCCAACATGAAATTACGCCCAGTACTCTTCATGTTAACATGCTAGTAAAATATATTTATTGTTTTTTTAGAGAAACTGTACAGATGCAAACGCTCACATACACTCACCCCCTATGAACGCACGCACACAACCTTTATGAGAACCTACAATAAATTGAGCCAACAAATGTTGAGATTGACGAAGTCACCACATGCACCTTTTAGTCGACAGGAACATCGTCTCCTACTGAAAAAATATCGACGGGGAGTCTAGAATAAATCCATAAAACTATGAGCACCCATGACAAACCAACTGAGACACTCAGTTTGCATATTTGTTGTTTTAAGAGAATACTAACCTTCATGACAAGGCTAGTTATATAGCTTCGTTAGACCAATCTAAATATATATGTATATACCAAGAAAAGCAATCGTACAAGATACTACTACACTATTAGAATTTTTCTCTGTGCCGAGTGTTAGGCTCTTTGCCGAGTGCATTATGTCGGACACTTGGCAATAATATATTTGCCGAGTACCTAACTCGGCAAAAACGCGAAACTCGGCAAGTAGGGACTTTGCCGAGTGTCGGGGAAAAAACGCTCGGTAAACAACAAAACTCGGCTAATAGGGTTTTGCCGAGTGCTACCCTCGGCAAAAGGGGGTCTTTACCAAGTGTCACACTCGGCAAAAGTGGGGCTTTGCTAAACTGCATAATGTTGGTCGTAGAGGTTGCATACGACCTCGGATAAAGATGGTCCAAAAATCAAAGTTGTTCATTTTAATGTGACGGACAATTTCCATGTTGAGAACTTTTTCATTTAGGCCATATTAATTATACTTTTTGGCATGCCAAATGTTAATATAATCTCAAATGATCAAGGTGATGGCCATATTCATTGCATGGTTTATTATAATGGTCCCAAATTAGACACATAGGTGCATCTTGACATTACAGACAATGTTCTCAAATAAAGCTTCCTACTTTTTTGTACAAAAAAATCAATTTTCATTTCTAAGTGTCAAAAAATGGGTGTTTTTTGTGAAGCAAGTACAAAAGTCAGGGTGCAAAATGGCACCACTCCAATTATCACAGAAAGTAGACCATGTTTTATGCACAACTCACAAGTTCCATTAATTTTCTAGTTTTCTAGCTACTTTCGCATATTTAAATGACTTTCTGTCAATATTTCCAAAGTAATTCAAATTTGAACTGCAAGTGTGTGATAGCTCTATCATAAAAATTAGCAAAAAAATAATTAGGTACACAAGTAGTCATTATATGGGAGAACCACTTAGAGTTTTGAGATATTTAACCTCTTGTTATGAATAGCCATGTCAACCATTTTGACCCCGTTTGGAAAAAAATGAAAGAAAAATAATACAAGTTTAAAAAATGCAATCCTTTCGCATGGAGTCCTTTTATGTGTAATAGTTAAGAGGAAAAATACCAAACTTTCAATATAACTAATTTGAAAAAAAAATCCTTCACAAAACGGACTATCGTATATGAACATTCATGACTTTCAACTCAAAGGACCAAGGTGATGATCATATTCATTGCATAGTTTATTATAATGTTTCCAAGTTAGACACGTAGGTGCATCTTGACACTACAAACAATGTTGCCAAATAGAGTTTCCTACTTTTTCCTACAAAAAAATAAATTTCATTTTCGAAGTGTCAAAAATGGGTATTTTTTGTGAAGCAAGTACGAAAATCAGGGTGCAAAATGGCACCACTCCAATTATCACAATAAGTAGACCATATTTATGCACAATTGACAAGTTTCGTGGATTTTCTAGTTTTCTAGATACTTTTGCACATTTAAATGACTTTATGTCAATTTTCCAAAAGTAATTCAAATTTTAACTGCAAGTGTGTGATAGCTATGTCATAAAAATTAGCAAAAAATGTTTTTAGATACACAAGTAGTCATTATATGGGAGAACGACTTCGAAATTTGAGAGATTCAACCTCTTGTTATGAATAGCAATGTTAACCATTTTGACCCGTTTTGGAAAAAATGAAAGAAAAAGAATACAAGTTTAAAAAATGCAATCCTTTTGCACGGAGTCCTTTTATGTGTACTAGTTGCGAGGAAAAATACCAAACTTTCAATATAACTAATTTGAAAAAAAATCCTTCACAAAACGGCGTATCGTTTATGAACATTCATGACTTTCAAGTCAAAGGACCAAGGTGATGGTCATATTCATTGCATAGTTTATTATAATGTTCCCAAATTTGAAACATAGGTGCATCTTGACATTACAAACAATGTTGCCAAATAGAGTTTCCTTCTTTTTTGCACAAAAAAAATCAATTTTCATTTTGTAAGTATCGAAAATGGGTGTTTTTTGTGAAGCAAGTACAAAACCAGGGTGCAAAATGGCACCGCTCCAATTATCACCATAAGTAGACCATATTTTATGTGCAATTACCAAGTTTCATGGATTTTCTAGTTTTCTAGCTACTTTCGCACATTTAAATGACTTTATGTCAATTTCCCGAAAGTGATTCAAATTTGAACTACAAGTGTGTGATAGCTCTGTCATAAAAATGAGCAAAAAATATTTTTAGGTACAACAGTAGTCATTATATGGGAGAAGCACTTGGAGTTTTGAGAGATTCAAACTCTTGTTATGAATAGCCATGTCGATCATTTTGACCCCATTTTTGGAACAAATGAAAGAAAAAGAATACAAGTTTAAAAAATGCAAGCCTTTCACATGGAGTCCTTTTATGTGTACTAGTTGCGCGAAAAAAATACCAAACTTTTAATATAACTAATTTTTTTCACAAAACGGGCTATCGTGTAAGAATATTCATGGCTTTGAAAAAAAATGTTTTTCATTTTCTTTGAGTAAAGGATGGATATAAAATGGCACCACTCCAATTTTCACATAAAGTAGACCGTATTCAATACCAAATCGCATTTGTTTGATTCCTTTGCATATTTCTAACATTTTTTAATATTTCTGAGTGTTGCACTCGGTAAAAGTCAGACTAAGAAAGTACACTCTCAACCAATCGCACGAAATCACATGAATCGATGACGTGGCAGCCTTCCTTTACCTCGCCGGCTCCTTTCCCTTTCTCTCTTATCTCCTCCCTCTCAATCACAGCCACGAACACCTCCTCTCTCTCTTTCTTTATCTTCTCACACCATGCACATCTCGCAGTCCATCACCGGCCGTCGGAGAAGAGCGGAAGACCGGCAACTTGGGCGGCGCCCTGTGCAGGCATGCTCTTCAGCCAGCCGCTCGCGACGCTGGCCAAGTTCAACCTCGAGCATGGCAATGGCCCGGACATCTACGGCATCTCGGAGATCGACGGCTTCAACTTGCTATGCGGCTCGCCGGCGTGATGCGTGTGCGTTGTCCGGCGTTGTACGTACGTGTGTTGTGTTGGCATGTTGATGCATGCATGCTTGTGTATTGCGTTTTGATGTATGCGTGTGGCTCGGACGGCGGGATGCGCGTACATGCTTTGGATTAGAAGCTCGCCGGCTGATGTGTGTGTACTGACGAGATGAGCAGCTAGACAACGACAGGTAGACCCGTCCGTCGTCTTGAGCCCCGCCCCTACCTCAAGCGCGACGAGCTCCGGCCATGAGCGCCGCCGGCGGTCTCTCTTTTTTTTCTGTAAAAAAGCTTTACCGAGTGCACCACTCGGACAAACATTTATGACACCTCGCAAACTGACTGATTTCCTCCGTTTTCGTTCTCCGTTAGTAGCTTTTTTACCGAGTTTAAACCTTTGCCGAGCGCCATGAAAACACTCGGCAAACTTGCTGCCGAGTGTCCGACAAATGGTTCTCGGCAAACTTCTGTTTGCCGGAAGGGGGTATGCCGGATGTCCTTTGCCGAGTGCAACACTCGGCAAAACCTTTGCCGAGTATTTTTTGCCCTTTGCCGAGTTTTTTTGGCACTCGGTAATGACGCGGATTCCAGTAGTGCTACATGGTAACATATGTATTACTTTAAGTTTTTAGTACACTCATATACTATTTATAGTACACTCTAAAGTGAACTACGTGAAATACATGCAAACCAAGTACTCCTTCTGATCCGAATTAATGGACACAACGTCTATACAATGTCAAGGGAGTACATAACTTTTTAGCATATGTGGAAAGAAATATCTTTATATCTGCACATATGAAGGAGTATAAGAGGTTAGTTCTTGTTTACAGAGGCCCCTTGTCAGTTGTTTATAAAATGTAATCAAAGTTTATTAGTCTTAGTAAACAAAAATTTATTTTTCAGATGTACCGCTGTTTATGATTAGTCGTTTCGGTAGGAACCTCGGGTGGCCTACTTTTTATTCTTGGGTGTAGAGGCAGAAGTTGTTTTTGCATATCTCCTATCATAAAGTGGATCGAGCCTGTTATAATACACATATGTAAGATCATATATCAATCCACTAATGAAAATTTGATATATTTTTCATCTTGGATAATAATGTTGTTGTGACTTATATAACTACTATAGACACTGCACCACATAGCTAAAAGCTACTCCCTCCGATCCATAATGTAAGATCACTTTTCAAGCTATGTTAGTTTGAAAAACGATCTTATATTGTGGGATGGAGTAGGTAGTTATCGATAGGGGTCACTTTGTCATTTTCTCAATAAAAAGTATTGACAGCTACAAATCTTTTCATAATCTCTGGTAACTTACTAGGTGTTACAACTTCTGCTAAAATAATACATTTAAAATATCTTTTTTGTACTACAAGACATTGTTACAGCCATGTGTTGTTTCTTACAACAGAGAGTATGTAGCCGTAGTATGCAGCATGTGTAAGACCACATAAGTATATACTACTACCTCTGTAATGACCTAAAACGTTTTATATTTGTTTTCAGAGGAAGTAGTACTTTTCATGTAGTATGTATGACTTTTTATTGTTGCAGGTCACCAGCTCCCGAAGCAAGCATGCCTTAAGCAAAAGCTCACATTCAGGTACTCATCTTGTAATGCATCATTAGTTAACTCATTTGTTCGTACTACGCAAGTTGGTAACTACTAATTCCTTCCGTTCCTGCATGGAAGAGCACCGAGGCAGGATCGCATTTTCTACCACCTACAGGCCCCCGGTGCCATTGGACATCTTCTCCTGCCCATTGTCCCCTTCGTCCACTGAAAAAGAGCTCCTCCTCACAGATGGCATTTCTTACAACTACAATGGCCGTTCCATCCCCCCTGCCGCGTTGAAGACCCTTCTGAAGAACCCCAAGGTGGCAAACGAGATTGGAGCCACCAATGCAGATGTCGATGCCGGCCACGTCTCAGGCCTCATCTTTGTCTCTGAAAGGGATGACGGCCTAGAGACGTTGTACATCGCATTGCGCTTCAGCAAGGTCAAGGTCTTTGCCCTTGCTGACATCTTCGGTGCTGCCGACTTCTGCGGCGCACGCCTGGAGGATAGTGGCTGCATTGGCGGTGGCTGTAGTGTGAGGTCTCAAACAATCGATCACTGTCTCATTTACATCTCCACCAAGGAACCGGTGCAGAAAAGCCGCAATCCTTGGACGGCCGTGTATAGAACTTACCTTACAACAGGCAAGACGGAGCGCCTAACTCCACCAGGTATATACATAGGTGTTGATTCATCCATAAGCTCTAGAGATTCCCATTAGTCATCTACTTGCACTAAATGTGATTGACATGTGTAGGGGAGTTTGACTTGAGCCCATCCGTGTCGCCATCCGGGAAGAAGGTTGCAGTGGCCAGGTTCCGATTGGAGAGATGGGACGACGGCGAGATTGAAAACCTTAAGACTGACATCTGCATCATGAATGTGGATAGAAAGAAATGTGCTGGTCTTGGCCGCATGATAGTACTTAGGCAAGCTGGCTGGCCATCCTGGGGCAGCAACAACATCATCTTCTTCCATCGATGCGTCATGAAAGACCCAAGCATCAAGAACGACAGAACATCTTGGGGCGTGTTCCAGTACAACATCAGCACCAAAAAGACCATCCGAGTGACTCAGAAAGAATTAGATGCGGTGACCCCAGCGGCCATCAGCGAGACCAAGGTAGCGGTGGCGACCATTCGCGAGAAGTTTGTGTCCGGCCAGAGTGCCCGCACAGAGGAACAGTACCGGCACATTGAGATCTTTGACACAGACATGCTTGAGCTGCCGCCAGTGCGCATCACCCATAAGATGAGGCCAAAAAGTGACCACTACAATCCCTTCGTGCTAGACGGTGGGGAGCGCATTGGATACCACCGCTGCTTGAGTGAGCACCTGCGGCATGGAGACCGTGTCCATCGGAATTTGTACAAGCTGGAGTCCCCGGTGGAGGACATCGGCTTATATCGGGTGTCTGGTATGTCCCCCACCATCTCCATGGACGGCTCCAAGCTCGCCTTCGTCGACAATGAGTTCAAGGCAGTGTGGGTCGCTGACAGCCAAGGGCTGCGTATCGTGTTCAAGAGTGAAGGAGGCTCGGGGAGCGTCTTCTCCCCTGTATGGAACCAGAACCCTGCCAAGGATATCCTCTACGTCTGCGTCGGCCCCTCCTTCCATTCGACCGAGCCGCTGGAAATTTACGCCATTCAGATCGGTAACCACTCTGACATGGCGCATCAGCAGATTGAAAGACTCACTCATGGCGGGTTCAACAACGCGTTTCCGTCGAGCAGTCCAGATGGGAACAACGTTGTCTACCGGTCAACAAGGGACGGGCACAAGAACTTGTACATAATGAATGGGGGCATAGGGATTGATCAGAAGACTATGCGGCTGACGGCTGGGCCATGGACAGACACTCACTGCCAGTGGTCCCCGAAGGGGGACTGGATCGCGTTTGCGTCGACGCGCGACACTCTGTCATTGGCTGCCTATACCGACTTTGGCCTTGACCTGGGGTTCTTCTCGGTGTACCTGGTTAAGGCGAGTGACCCGATGGTGGTGATCAGGGTAATTGGCAGCGGGGACATTTACAGCGGTCATGTAAACCACCCGGTGTTCAGCCCTGACGGGAGGATCATCGCCGTGACTGCAGACCTGGCGGCGGTGTCGGTGGACCCGATCTCACTGCCCTGGTATTTACATGCAGTGCGGCCCTACGGCGACATCTTCCTGGTGGACATCGACCCAGACGAAGAGAAGAACAGAGACGTGAAGGTGTTCCGCCGGATGACACACAGCAGGTACGAGTGCCGGACTCCGGCCTGGACGTCCTTGTTCACGACGCCAGCACACGCGCAGTGGAACATGTTGCTGAAATTTGAGGACACCCGGTACAAACCGGTGTGTCCGTACATCTACCCAGACGGAGGCGAGAGCTGGCACATGACCGGCCACCTCAGCATGGCCACGCTTTGGCATCGCTGATTATTACTAAATTATTTGAGCCACTCTTACATGAACGCCGAGGTGTATTCGTGTATGTGAAGGTAATCAGCGTCTCTTCTGTCGAAGGACATGTATGAGAATCAGCGTGTTGTGTGCTAGATTGAGACATGTTGTATTGGGGAATAAATTGAATTCGATGCTGAATTGTCTCCAGATTACCTCAGCTTGCTATATGATTCACGGCTTAGCTAGGTTGGCTTGTTTATGGTCATCCATTAACAAGCAAGTCTGTTGTTTTTTCTTGTCAGATCACTTTCCCCTCAGACTACAACATTAAGTGACATGTGATTTTTGCTTGGTCCAAATGTGACGTGTAAATGAGGCTGGTGAAGGCAGAATCTTTCTTGCCAAGTGCTAGCACAAGACAGCGCACCTCTGCATCCCCAAGAGGGCTTGCTGATTACTGATTGCTTGATTTTGTGTGCAACTACAAGTGGCCTATTCTTTCCCAGTAGTGGCCTGACATGTTCTCCTTTGTGCTATTGGATTCTCGTTTAACTACAATGATAGTACCGGAGAGTGAAGATCTCAGAGGTTATTTTCCCATTGCCTCTGTGAGCAGGCCTCTCCACCATGGCTAATTATGTACCGATGGCAGAGCAAGATCTCTGGACATATCAACTGAATTCCATTCACCTGGATACTCTTGTAAACCAAATTCTGCACTCTGGCAGCCTTGAAACTCCTCCTGCTTTCAAATGGAAAATGAGTAAAGCAGGCACATGCAGCAGCCCCTCCTCAAGCAGAGAGCTTGGAATGAAGGAGGGTCATGGTCCATGTAGTTGGGCATGAGAATGAGCAAAGCCCAGACCATCAGAGAAACGTTCAGATCTTGAGATTTTGAACTAGTTCAAATAACAGAGGGAGTACTAAGATAAGATAGTACAGTACAAGGTAGTAGAGCACATTTTAATAGATTCGCTAAGACCGCTACGACAAAAGGTTGTGAATCTCGAGTTGCAGGGAGGCTAGGTGTTTGTACAGGAGTTGTGGTTATTTATTCGTTTACTACTCTAGCTAGGTTCCAAGGAAGGGGCTCTTTGGAGCTATCTTATTTTGTTAGTTTGTTGTCCAGGGGAGCATTAGATCTAGAAACATTTCTTTTTCTGAAATATGCCTTTGTTGTCAAGGAGAGGTTCAGTCTTGAGGTCATGTGATAATTAGGAGTACCCTAGAGGTGATTCGGTGTGCCCCCTTTGATTGATATTGTTGGATGAGTAGTCATATGATAGTTAGGAGTACCACTGGAGATGCTTTGGTGCTTTGATGTGCCCCTTTAGATTGTTGTTGTTGGATAAGTAGGCGGATCTGGTGAGAGATGAAGGTGATTTTTTTGGATCTGATGCCTGGATGCGGTCATGTGCAGGTGCTGCTGTGTGAATGAGAGGAGAAGAGGGTAGATGAGAGGATTGCTACTGTCTCACCTGCCTCTCCGTCTTCTTCTTCTACTACGTCCTAGGTAAGCCAACCGCTGCTTCCTCTCTGCCCTCTCCTGTACAGTATACATCGAGCCGTGCTATTTTTTTTTCTATAGTAGGAACTTTTGTTTGGGATGTGGTGATTGCTACACTTGGGTTACACGAATTTCTCAATATAGCCAATCTTTTCTAATTGGTATTAATTACGGTACTCTCGAATTGGAGTCGGAGTTCATGCATTCAAGTAATTGCTTTATCTGCCTCCCGCTTTGTTTTTGCTATTATGTTCGTTGGCACTTTGACAGAATGTGATGTTTGCTCTTCAAAAACACAGAACTAAAGTAGTACAAAGCTGTATTCTAAATGTAGACAGTATGCTGATGTACCGTTCCCATCCACGGTGCTTCATGTAATATTGATTCTTGTGAACCCTATGTTGGCTTCCCATGTGGCCATTATATCTGTGCATTTAATCTGGTGGCTATGGAGACGTATTGTTCTATAGTTTTGGTATCCATCGATGATGTCTTGCTCTGATTATGTGTGAATGTTTCTTGTTTTATTTTGTTATCCTGATTGAATGCACACGCTAAGCCTGGCTTTCTACGAACTTCACCATTATTTGCTTGGGCACATCGTTGGAACCGGCACCCTCGCGCCAAGGCGTGCTACCGATTAGAGCTTAGTCTTAGATATTTTGTTTGTAATTTAAAGTTTCTTGGGTGATTACTCCACCATTACAATGCTGTTTATAGCGGCAACATGATTTTATATATGACTGATTAATACGAATGCTGGACATTATGTCGAACCTTTTCTCTTGCTATGTGCTTGCATGTAGCTTTTTTGTTTTAGTTAAACAATTATGCTTTCTTGTGGGGACGTGAGTATTTGGTTTGCTATATTTAGGACCAGATCACAATATATACAACTATGATACAAGATCTCATGGTCATCTATTAGCTGGTAGTAACGTCATGTTCTTTTGAGGCTGACACTTCTTCCTTAGCCTTTATTTTTTTCAAATGGTTTCAATAGCCATACAATTAGGCTGTCGGCTAGAGAAAAGACTGAAAAATGGCCCCTATTAGACGTACTATCATTCCTCAAATGGCCATGTGCTCTGCTTCTTTTTACTTTTGAGTCTTTTAACAATCAATCCCTTTCTTTAGTAATCTATTGCATTAGTTACTAGACAGACACTTTTTAAACCTTATTGGGTTTGAAATTGGTATTCCATTATGTTTTGCCACTTCTGCAAGCAAGCGTGCTTAAAATAAATGTCATGATGTAACTTCATATGATTTCCAGTTAACAAATTCCTGCTGTTTTAGCACTCCAAATAGATACAAGGAAGTCTACCTGCTATTCTAAGATTCAGATATCAGGCACATACATAATGTATCATCTCTCATGACTCCGATGGTTTGTATCTTGGAAGCAATTCGGGTGTTGGTCTAAGGTTGCCAAGGGGTATTGCTGATAGTTGTAGTCTGGTGATTGTTGTTATCTTATAGAAGGGCTTTTGCTTCGCTTCCGGGTACAGGATGTGGTCATTTTGTTTTGACTGCTTTCTTATATGTAGACAAGATAGCAGTACTATAATGGGGTTTCAGTTATGTATTTTCTTTTGCTCGTACTTAAACTGTGGTAGAATGGAGTTAGCATCCTTATTGGTTGGCATCCCTTGTTGGTTGGCATCCTTATTGGTTGGCCTATGCTCTTATGCCAGGCGCTTGCAGCTGAGTCGTATGTGTATTGCAGGTTTTTCTATTTGGAGCACTGGACCAAGAGCACATGGAGGGAGCTCTTCTCCACCGCGCCGTCGACAGGAACAAGGAAAATCCAGTCCACGGTGCCACCAATGAACAAGGTAAACACGAGCTATCGGCAGCTTATAGATTCCATATTTCTGTAGTGTTGATCTAGGGTTTATGTGAGTGAATCTTACTGTTCTTTGGTCTGTATATAAAAATACTGCTCAGTTGACAGTAGTTGCTATAGTTTTATTGTTGTGAAAGTCTCATGGCCCAGCAGAACGCCATTTTCAGAGAGAATACTCCAGATCTATTCACTCTGATTTAGTTTTGGTATTGATTTTTATTTGGTATGACTAGATAAAGATAGTGAGATCATTTATGTTTTGGTACTTGCTGAGATAGTTAAGTTTGTTTATCTATGAAAAGAAAATACACTTGCAGTTATGTATGTGTGACTTGGTGTATGCGTCAACTGCAGTTTAGGATGCCAATAAGTTTGCAGTGATATACATGCGTACTACCTGGGGGATGCCAATAAGATTATACTGCCGATCAGTTTGTGTTGTGCTTCTTAGTATCTTGCCAATTCTAATTTGCCTGCTCTGAGCATGTGCTTTTTCCTTGCTACCATGTCAAGAATCCAAAGAATGCCAATGTGTTCTTATTTATTTCCACTATAATTTGTTTTCTGTTGCCAAAAGTTGTGTTTCTGAAGAAAAGAAAATGCATTGTGTCTTTTGTGCAGGTTGGTTTGCACAAGGTGCTGTAGTTTTCAAGATATATCATGTGCTCAAATGTTTGAAGGCTTATGTTGTGTACTGAAAGAATCCTCAAAAAAATTAGAAGGTGAGTTCTATCGGAAATATGTTGATCCTTTCTATTATGATCTTATCTTTTGCATGAACATTTGATGCCTCAAGTTAAACAAAATCATAGTAATCTTGGTATTTTCCGCTTTTATTGTTCCTAATTTTATAGGAGACCTGGATGTCTACCTAGGATTTAGATGTGTTATCCCAGACCCCAAGATATATCATGTTCTCAATGTTACATATATATTCACATTTGGAAGAAATGAGCATGCAGTAATTAACTGGACTATAGTAGATGGACTGAGAACATGTAGTAAACGGACTATAGTGTGATCCATTTCTGCTTATATCATAGTCAGTGTAAAATGTGCTAATACTGTTATACATCTGAAAATTAGGTGTCTCTTTGTGCCTCCTTCCAATGACAGCGATGAATATCTTTTCAATGTAAGAACATACATTCTCATGATTCTGTATATTTAATGTCTACCTTTTCTGTTATTAAATGTAGATGCCTACACGGCCCCTACCTTTTCTGTTATTAAATGTAGATGCCTACACGGCCCTCTGATTGTGTTGCTAATTTTGGTCGTCCAACGACGATATAACATTGAGTACTATTATTGATTTGTTAACTCCCCTTGGTTCTAAGCATTGTGGAGTAGAAAGCATGACCCCATTTGAGTTTATTTTTCTGCTTAGTGTAAGCTATATAATCTGCTGGACTTGAGTACTATTTAATTCTTTTTCATACCATATTACCGCCAATTTAGACCTTTCTTTATTTCCAGTTCCAAGAATGATGATGTGCCGCGGGGATGGACAGTGAAGATTGTTTGTAGTTTTTCCACTTGATGTTTGTTCGGTAAGAAAACAACAATGTATATGATTGATGAGCTGCGTCCTATAACCGCTCACTGATGCTAATTGGTTCTTACACATAAAAACAAGCTAAAAAATTGTATCGGTACTTCTATCGTCAATGCTCC